TATAAGTTTTTTTTTTTTTTTTTTTAAATAAAATTATGAATAAAAAAAGTTTTTAAGACACTCCTGGCTTATATATAGTTACATTTATTAATTGAATGCAATTTTCTATTAATATATATTATTTAATTATTATTATTTAATTAGTGATATATTCGTTCAATAAATTATGAATGACACATATGAATTAAAATAAACTTTATAATCGTTTCTTGTGCAAATCAGCAGGCTTGAAAACATGTTTTACTCATATTTCAGGAAAACAATTCTGATTGGACATTTAAGGCATATACGAAGCGTCACTGCTGAACATTAATATCAACATATATTAACATCCTACAAAACAAACAGACAGACAAAGTCAATGTTATGCCATAAATGGTGAAACATAGTAAATGTTCTGATTCTTTACTCTATATATGGAATGCATGCACTTACACACAAAAGCATGTAGAGCAACAGAAAATATGCATTTATATTTCATAGTTCCTGAACTTCTGTAAAAGGCCCGAGGGAGCTTCACCAGCCCAGCGAAACCTGTGGTGCCAATGATCACCTGTGAAACAGAAACATTACAGTCACTCATTTATAACTGAAGAATTATAAATAGTCATAAAAATCAATGTCTTACTGGATGGCAGTGACGGTTCAGACGGTTTCTCCTCCAGATTCACTCGCTTCACTTTCACTGGATCTGGATCTTTTGCAGCCTCAAGCATTGGCTCTTTCTTGGTCCTCGCAGCCCAATGCATTGACTGAAAAGTAATGCAATTATTATAAATTGTTATAAATGTAATGAATATATCACCTACCTAACACTCACTGTTTTAACGGAGTCACTGAGCGCTCGCCACTCGCTGAACGGGATTACAATTCGACTTCTGAGCCAGAGATCGTAATTCTTTCTTTTCTTCTCATCTGTGAGAACCTCTTTAGCTTCCTGTAACTTCTGGAACTCCTCCACTGCGGAAAGTGTGTGAGAAACAGATTCAAACACTCACAAAAGTGACGTTCAGAACGATCTGACAGATTCCTGTATTAATGTTCCTGGTCTTACTGTGAATAATTCATCAGTAAAGTTATTGTGAAAAAAAAAAAAGGAAAATTATTTGTCTTTGTGATGTTTCATCATGTTAGTTTAGGTTAGTGCAAACCAAGAAATAATTAAAAATAAATAAATAAATATAATATAATTAAAAAACATTTAAATTAATCAATTTACAAAAAAATATGATCTACATTTAAATCTATAAAAACTATTAAAACTATAAAAAATTACAAAGAAAGTAATTTAGTAATTCTTAAAAACTGTGCCAACACAATCCACAGAAAATTAATCTTTAAATATTATAAGTATTTAAAAAAAAATTTTTTTTTGTAATTTTTTTTATTTCGTTGTATTTATTTTATCCAATAAAAAACACATTGGGGACCACTATCTAAATGCATGTCAGAAAATCCGCCAATGAGATAAAATAGCAATAAAATAAGCTTTATTATAATATGAATCTGTGAAACATAAATAAATGGCAGACTTTTCAATCACACACTGGCCTCACCCCAACACACCCAGGATTCTTTGATGAATAAAAAGTTAAAAAGAACAGCATTTATTTGAAATGGAAATCTTTTCTAACAATATAAGTCTTTATTATCACTTTTTATCAATTTAACACGTCCTTGCTGAATAAAAGCATTGATTTCTTTAAAAAAAAAAAATACTGACCCCAAACTTTTGAGCGGTAGTGTATATTGTTAGAAAAGATTTCTATTTTGAATAAATGCTGTTCTTTTTCATTTTTTATTCATCAAAGAATCCTGAAAAAATATCACAGGTTCCAAAAAAATATTAAGCAGCACAACTGTTTCCATTTTTTTTTGTTATTTTTTTTATTTCGTTGTATTTATTTTATTGCATTAATTACTAAATTACTTTTTTGCCATTTTTTTTATAAAATATATTTAGATCATTTAGTTATTTTAAAATGACATTTTATTGTAAATTAATTGTTTTATATATTTACATATATATATATATATATATATATACGTAATGATGCTGAAAATACAGCTTTGATCTCAGAAATAAATTACATTTTAAAGTATATTAGAACAGAAAACCATTATTTTAAATTGCAATAATATTTCACAATTTTACTGTTTTTTCTGTATTTCTGATCAAATAAATGCAGCCTTGATGAGCAGAAAAAACATCACAAATCTTACTGATCCCAAACTTTTGAACGGCAGTGTAATATATGTGTTATATAAATTACTTTTTTTGTAAATAAATTTTTAAACAGATCAATAATTGGCCAAAATTGGGCATTTTATGGGTCACCACCCACTGGAAAATAAATCAATCAACAACTGTGAATGTTTTTGGACAAAAGTCATTGCAACTAATTAAAATGAATATGGTAATCATATCAAAGCACCACGGTATTGCCAGAGTATTATTTTTAAGGGGTGGTGTTAATGACATTAGATCTTTGCACACACAAAATGATGAATGATTGTGTTTGTACCTGCTTTGGGGTTCTCTGGGTGTTTGTCAGGATGGCAGGCCAGAGCTCTCACTTTAAACTCATTGACAATCTGTTCAGTCTTCAGAAGATGCACATTTGAGTCAAAGATTAGCATGTAATGATGGATAAGTCTGTTTGCACTCCCAGCTACTTAATCAATGATTATTACCAGCATGATGACTGATGTCAGGCTCAACAGGCTGTTCTGCTGTTATCATTAGATGTGTAAAAACCTCTTATTCTATCACATGCATGTTAATGCAATTATCATATGTTTTCACATTGTTTACAATAGCTGAAATGAACAGACATGTTGCCTTTGCGATTATAATAATACAACTTTGCTGTAATAAACTAGCGGAAATAATAACACACAAGCCGTAAAAGCACTTTTATGAGTTGTAGTAAGTGGTGTGTTCACCGTTGAGAGTTCATCGCAGCCGAGCAGCCCGTAATAATCCTCCAAATCCTCCCTTCTGCAGCTCAGGATCGCCTCCATGCCTCCTGCACTCAAGCGCAACACGTAACTACCGTAAACTCCCGCACAAGAGTGCTGCAGTCAGTCGGCCGCAGTCTACAGAGCGCGCATGCGCGCAGCTATTTGGAGCTTTACGGTAGAAGGGCTTTTAAATGACGCAGACGCTCTGACTCACTAAAATACCAGATTTCTGATTGAAATCTGTGAAAAAGTAAAAACGAAATGACTTTTAATGCATCTTGATTTTTATGTGAGTATATTAAAAATCATAAACACAGATAATGGTTGAATTTTTATTTAAAAAAATTTTTTTTTTTTAAATATTTTTATTTTTTATTTTATTTTTTATTTAAAAAGACCCTCTAACACTTGCACTCACTATTCTATTTCTATTCTTATATCTACTTGTCTTCTTTAAAAAAAGAATTTAATTCCCTATTCTTTTTCTATTCTATCTTCTTGTTTTCTTTTTATTTATTATATATATACATATATATAAATATATATAAATCCTTGCTATGTGTACTGTGTTAGCTTATATATAATTGCTCTTTTGTTAGTTTTGATTGCTTCTATTGTCCTCATTTGTAAGTCGCTTTGGATAAAAGCATCTGCTAAATGTAAATGTAATTGCGCTAAAAGTACCAGCCAAATAGTATTACCCTGGCATTTTGATAATACCATGGTATTTTTGACTTAAATTAAAAGATAATGTGTCTGGTAATTCAAAGAATACCATAGTATTGTATGTAAACATAATCTTACAGTAGCACACTGATTACTGTGAGACTTTCCAAATCCTTCATCACTTGAATTAAGATTATAATAATTTATAATATTTTTTTTTAATTATTGAATTATTTGAGATCGTTCTGAGGTTAAATACTGACTTCATAACAAGATAGGCTATAGTTTTTTTAATATATATTTTACATCTATATCTATACAAGATATAGGGAAATTTGGGAAAGAAATCGAATTAAATCTGTGTGTGTGTGTGTGAGTGAGTGAGTGAGTGAGTGAGTGAGTGAGTGAGTGAGTGAGTGAGTGTGTGTACTGGTTTATGTATCATGGTGGGGACTTAAACATGACTACACACAGACTCATGGGGACTTGTGACACGGTGGGGACCTAAATTGTGGTCCCCACGGGCAAACAA